TACATGAAATTACAAACAACTTTTTTGGTCAGTGATAAAGTCAGGAAGCAAATTGATGTACCTGATCCCATTTAAGGGTCAACCATAGAACCCTGTTCTCAGGGAATGTTTTACTGATACTTTCAGTATCAAAATTGTTCGCAGTTTGTCAGACACAATACGTTACTTGAAAACAGGGAGTCGATCCTTTAAAATGTGTTTGGTGTTGCAAATTAGTTTTCATAGAATTAAACAATGAAACATCTTGTGACTAGTTAAACATTTGAAATGAATAATATTTCAATCTTCATTCATACACTCATTTTCTAAAAAATGAGAAGGAGAAGATGTCAATTTAAGAATTATTAACAAATTAAATGAACCTCTAACACAAATGGTTATTTAAAGCAGAGTAATTTTTTATGCCATAAAACATGGATCTGAAGGGGAGCTTTAATTTCATTCTTCCTCACTGGTTCAGAAGCAGCTACTTGATGACTATTGAAGCCAAAATGTATTTTTCATAGTAGACATTTCAGTTGTCAGGACCCTGAAACTGAAACAGCTAAATGGGATTCAGCCAATATTTATTTTATTATTTACACCTGTGTTTCTCTTACTGGGACAAAAAAGGCCAATATTGGTGTTTGTATTCTTGTTGAAGTTACCATGTCCACTCCAGACAAGTAGGGGGTGACACATCGTTATTGTATCGAATATCATTCACCTGTGTGCTGAGTTTGTGTGTTTCAGATGGAGGGAACTTCTTGCAACTCAAACAAGATTTCAAGCTAGACATCATCCATGAACTGTAATGAGTCAAACTTCACATGCCCAGTGCTGCAAGTCACCCGTATTGCAAAATATCAGGTTAGTGTTTGTCTACTTAAGCCAAGAAAAAAATGTTTAAGAGACCCTGAAAAAAATGTTCTGACAAATACTATGTGTGTATTGAAGCCTGATATCTTATTCTTCTGGCCCACATGAGCTCCATTGTTGCCCAAAAACTATTAAAAACGCATCAGTGAGTCACACTGTTGCACTGGGTGACATGTTCCTTCATTACCATGAACACACACACACTGTTGTTTATTTTGACTCAGTTCCACAAACACTGTCCTGCGGCCACAAATACTCAGTAGAGCACCAAATGTGGATTAATCCGCCGCTGAAAATAGTCCCCAACAAAAGCTGTAATTCCTGTTTGATAAAAACTACAGTGACCAGCTGTTGAAGGAAATTACTAACGTACTTACTTTAAAAAGAGACTGTATGAACACAGTCATTAGTATTATGGCGAATCATGACTTCAGTTTCCAGTTTCAGGCCGTCCACAGACACATTTTAAATCTACTGAGCAATGAACAGCCTGATCAATACTGAAACAACGAATGATGTATAGATGTGATAGAGACTGGACAAAAATTGCTTCGTCCCATTTTGTGTGTCTATCTTTGTGACGACCAGTTTGAGTTTTAAACCTGGAGAGAGAGGACATTTCTGCTGGTGTGCAGGGTTGAGAAAACCAGGATAAGTTAAGGGTTACTTATTAATAGTGATGGTTAAGGGGCTGGGGTATATTATAGTGTGTGTGTGTGTGTGTGTGTGTGTGTGTGTGTGTGTGTGTGTGTGTGTGTGTGTCGGCAAAAGCACGTGTTGATCAGGCTTTTGCTGCCACCTGCTGACTGCATTATGAACAACAAATGAGATGCCCGCTGCATTTTACATCTTTGAATTATATGAGTTCAAATGAAAAAATATTGCATGAATAAACTACACCAAGCTTAAATAAGTAAAAAAAAAAAAAAAAATAACTAGAGGGTGACAACAAAATATATATAAAAATACATATATACAAAGTCATAATAGACGGTTCACATGTAGAAATAATAAAAGGAATAAAGGATAAAGAGATGAAAGAAATGGGGAAATTCTGTATTGAAACTCAAATATGAGACATGAGAGTCAGGTAGACGTGAGAAGAAATTACTAAAATAATCACTAATAAAATGATGATGTTTCCTTCAGTATAAAGGTATAAAATGAGAAACAAGCTCAATGAAATATAAAGAATATACAGTACTACATAAATATTTTTACTACAGCATTGATCAAAGCAACATAACATAAAAGAAACTCAGAGAGGAGAGAAAATTACAGACATTGTTCCAAATATGGGTTTATGCGAAAAAGAAGCTCCTTAAAGGCCAGTACCTTTTTTTTTGTTTTAGCCAATTTACTGCGAAACCCATGTGATTTATAATAACTGCCGAATAAAGCCTAAAATAAGTTCAGCATGTACTTTCTTTTTACTAAACCGTGACTGCATCTGGCTGATGTTTTTTCTTGTTACTGCAATGCTCTTTATATTGAGTTACTTTTGAATTTGATTTTGTGTGTGCTAACTGTGTGAACTAATTTACATGTAAGTGTCGTTTGCCTTCCCTTGTGTATCTGAGGAAGATGACTGATTGTTTCAGTGCTTCACAAATGTCAAAAATCTTGCTACAGCATGTGTTTAAATTTTAAATAATCTTGTGTGTATTTCAAACCGCAGGACGGTGTACATGGGATTGAGTCAGAATAAACTACAGTGTGTGTGTCCATGGTAATGAAGGGACATGTCACCCAGTGCAGCAGTGTGGATTACTGATGTGTTTTTAATAGTATTTGGACAACAATGAAGCTCATGTGACACAGACAGAGAAGATATAGAAGGCTTTGACACACACACGCACACAACACTTTATCTATGTATTTAGTGTGAAATGAAAAAAGACTGCTCCTTCAAACTCTTGGACCTGTTTTCCCTCTTCTCCTCATCCTGGTATCATTCAGTTTTTCTTCTTCTTCTCCTCTTTTATAGCAGCAGGTGACACATTATAACTGTCTCAAAGCTTTGACACCCCCCCCCCCCCTTCCTCTTGTGACATCATCCCTCTGAGATGAGCTGACCTCTGACACCTCTGTATTTAGACACCCCCCCAACACACACACACACACACACACACACACACACACACACACAGGGGGGTCTGTCTTTCTTTTCTTTGTCACAACACAGTAAATAGCTGGTTTTCTCTCTGTGAATGAAGTCGTCTGCTGTGGAAATAATGTTTTAATCCTGACAGATGTTGAAAAGAAAACAAAAATATTCAGTCCAAAGATGATAAAACCCCCCAACCAACTTAAGGACTGAAGCTAAGACACATCTGGTGCTATAAAATAATAATCCAATTCTTTTTATAGAGGACATTTTCCAATTTTCAAGAAGTATTTTGTTTTTGTTTACGAAGAAAAGTCTCTTTGCTCAGTCTAAAAAGTTTATATTAATCAAACTCAAATGCTCTGTCAGTATTGATGAAACTACAATGATCAAACAGCAACATGAAATATAAAACACACGCACACAACTGCTTAAGTCAACTAGTTATAATAAAATAAAATAAAAATGAAGTTAGTAAGCTTAAAGACTGGAAACAGAGGGAAACAGCTCGCCTGATTTGACCAAATTTTCCCAGGGAACAGGAACTTTTTAAGGAACTGAGGAACTAAACCTGCATTTTAACTTTTGAGCAGTAAATCTATGGAGCAAACCGGTCCCTGCTCCAGGTTTATATCAGGATGAGAGTCCTTTGTTGTCAGCTTCATGACTCATAAACTTTACTTACTAACAATTCCATGGTGGTTATTTGCTGTAAAAGCAGAAATAACCATCAAACAGGAGGCAGATCTGAGACAGACGAGGCTTTCAGTTTCCCTCTTCCTCCCCTGCATTTGTTTATTCTTCACATCCAACTCAAACACCAGAATCAGGCGACAGTAAATGCAAAGAACATCACATAATTAAATGTTGTTTTCACCATCGTTTTAATCCATTAAGGGTCTAATTTTTCTTCACAGTTCTTCAGATGTGGTGGAAACAAAAACAAAGATGTTCAGGAGAGACTTTTAGCTCTCATTTCAGTTCCGAATGTCACTTTCTCTAGTTCCTGAAACTTTCTGGTTGATAATTATCCATCTCTTTTGCTGAATTTGTACAAAAACCAAAGTGTAAAAATAACAATTTGCAGTTTTGTTTGATGCTATGTGTGGAACTTATTAAATTAATTAAATCAAAGTGAATTTGGGACTTTTGTTGCCCACTTTGCCCTGTAGGTAACCTGCCCTTGACTTCAGAGTAAAAGTAAAACAACTCAACTCGGTCCTTAACTAATTGAGGCATGATAGCATGAACATGATAGCTGCAGTGACTTGAAGCCTCTTAAAATGAGACAGTGTCAGTTTTGGGACCCAGTGCCTTAAATGCTGCTGCTGAATTTGTTCTGATATTTCAACTAAGGAAAAAAAGCTATTGAAAGAATAAATAAATTAGCCTTAATGAAGGCTTTTACTTCCTATAAATGCATTAGGCTGCATTACAATATTTTTTTCTAAGATAAACAAATCTGTAAATGCACCAACTCCATTAACTTTTGGGACAGTTTTAGGAATATAAATTAGCTAAAATATAACCTAAATTTATTCCTAAAATATTACATCCAGTGACTGATCAGGCCTGTATATAGATCGTTTTATTTTTCTATTATAGTAAACTATTAATTAAATATTTAACACCAGAAATAAAGCATAAAGTGACAAACTGTAAATGCTTAAGACACTTTTAGACAACAGAGACACACTCTTTCTGCAGGAAAAATGTAGAAATATTACATAACATGGCAGGAAATTTAATCTCAGTTTAGGAGACAAACTGTCCAAAACTTCAAACTTCAAAACGTCAATTTATTAGGAACTTTTTACTGGAAAGTTTATAGTGATTGTGCATCATGACTACAGTCCAAGTCCTTTTATATAGGCTGATTAATGAAGCACTGTTTTGTATCTTGTGCCTGAACATGCATGAAATAAATGATACAATTAATTCTGTGAATATTAATTTAAAAATGTTTAAAATATTGTTAATATTCCTGTCAGAGCAAACACAACCTGATCCGATTCAGTAAATGAAACCTCTCACACCTGCTTCAACTTTTATTCACCATCATAAATATCCAGTTTATTACAAAACAACTCACCGGTCAACATTATAAATAGATTTATAAAACACGGGAAAACATTTAAAAGTGACACTTTTGCTGAAACAACAACGAAAACAACAACAAAACAAACCCACAGTCCTCCCCCCAAAACAAGAAAAGGTTTGGTTTGATCTGTTTTAGGATCAGTTTGACTTTAATTCCCATAGGCTATGTAACAAGGAGTTTAGTTTTAGACGTTTTGCGCGTCAGGGTGGGGGAAAAGTCTTTTGTTATCTGTGTGGATAAAAATTAAAATTGATCATTTTCCCAAGCTGTACGAGACAGAACAGGGTCACATTTTAAAGGGAGTTCGCCATTACAGGAGTGAATGACCTAAATCTGGTCATATCAACTCATAGAAAATCTTAAGCTTAAAAAACTTTAACATTTTCATTTTCTCACATCCTGGCACAAACCAAACTCTATTCAGAAATATGTAATTTTCTCACTTTTCCAATAATGACATTTTTTTGCGAATTTAAACATAATTTTTAAGGCCGAACTCGAGCTTCTAAAGTGGACTTCTTGGTGTTTTAGAGATCCTGTCCCTCAGTAAAAGTTTTGGCCCGGGCCTCACCAGCTCCAGTGGTACATGTGCGCCAGCTGCTGCACCCCTGGGTGCTGCTGAGGCAGCCCGGGATGCTCCGGGCCGTACGCGGGGTGCAGCAGCGGGGAGTAGGCACACAGAGGCAGGCTCAGGCCGGACCTGAGCGTCACCTCCAGCTCCTGCGCTGTGATTCGATCACAGGGCTTCCCGTCCCGCACCAGCAGCGGGATGGCGACCCGGCGCGCCGGCAGGAGCGGCAGCGCCTGCAGGCTGTGCTCGGACCGCTTCATCTTGTAGCGGTGGTTCTGGAACCAGATCTTCACCTGGTTCGGGGTGAGGCGGATCAGCCCGGCCAGGTGTTCTCGCTCCGGGGCGGACAGGTAACGCTGCTGCCGGAAGCGGCGCTCCAGCTCAAAGGTCTGCGCCTTGGAGAAGAGGACCCGCCGCTTTCTACCGCGGCTCTTCTGCGCAGTGCCGCCCGCAGGATCCCTCTCCGCGTCCGGGGACTCGTCTGTAGAGAGCTCGGGAGATTTTGACTCGATGCGGGAGTCCAAGGAAATGCCGTGTACTGCAGGGAGACAGGGCAAGTGATCGGATTACTGTTAGTGCTCTGATGACACAGAGTGGAACTCAGAAACTCCAACCAAAAGCAATTTCTTTTTAAAACAACGACAGACTATTTTTTTCATTTGCTTTTCATCAGAAATCGATAAACGTTTATACTGAAAGTAGGACAAATAAATACAGCTCAGATTGTTGTTTTATTTCGTCTTGTTAATATGCTTTCCAAGAACTATCCTGACTCAAACTCCGTGTTGAACTCCCTTCACAAAAACACTATTTTTAAAATCAGCGTGCGTCTGGATGATTGGACAGCTCTTCACTTGCTGTCCTTGCTTGAAAGGACCAAAAATAAACATCGGCATCAATTCCGAACAGTGTGGCTGAGCTCAGAAATCAACATCAATAACGAGGCATTGATTTAATTATAAAATGACAGTGTAATGTGTATGGAAACAAAGAGCCGGTCTCCAGTTACGCACGGATGTCTGTGACTGTCCGGACAAAAATGAGGATTAAATGATGATCTACTGTCATTCCTATAATTGAAATGTTAAATTTGTCTCTGGATTTACTGAATATTTTAAGTAGTCATCGATTTTTAAGATGATAAGTGTAGTTTAGTATTTATTTGACAATTACGCACGCGTGTCAGATGTGGACTGATATGCTATAAACCAAATGAGGTTAATATACTAACTTTTTATTGTATTTTTATGTTTTGAAAAACACGTGTCCTCACATGAGAAGTGCAGGTTACCGGATCCGCGGCTCCACCTGCCGTAGCTTCTGCCGCCGCGCCCGCACAAACTCCGGCCGCTAAATCCCAATTTCTGCGCGTTTTCCGCCCCTGACACCTCCGCGGAGGGCTCCTCGGTGTCGTCCTCCTCAGTCTCCTCGGTCCCGGAGCCGCATCTCCCGGTCGAGTCTGGGAGATCCAGGATATCCCTCACGGAGAAGCCCGTTTTTGTGCTGGTGCCAAAAGACATGACGCGGAGGGGGGAAAAGAAAGAGAAAAAGAAGAAGTTCCAGGGCTCGAGTCCCGCGATGATACAGCCTCTGCAGTCCGTTAAAGAGGAGCAGACAGCGGAGGGTTTGGGTCCATGAATGCCGTTAAACGTTGCGGGAGCCCGGAGCTGCACGGGCCGACCGGAGAGGATTTACCAGCATGAAAAATACATGAGGGAAGACATTAAGAGAGTGTATCCGTCCTTTTTAACTGTGTGTGTGTGTGTGTGTGTGTGTGCGCCCGCGCGCCCGCGAGCGCCGTTAAAAAGGACGGAGGCGGGTCCCGAGGGTCAAGTGGTTGAGGGTGTGAAAAAAAAAACCCCGGAGCAGCGCTTATACCCTTTTCCAGCAAAATGAGCGCGTATACAAGAGAGATGCTGGAGCTGCAGGAGGAGGTGAATGTTTAATGATGGAGGATTAGAGAGAAAGAAGCGCCTCATTTACATTTATCAGAGTCACTGATCCGCTTCCTGTTTACATGGTTAGCCTGAGATGTGTCTCAAACTCAAGAAAAAGCTTTAAAAAATACTTTAATGAGTGTTGTTTTGTTACTGTGTGAAATAAGATCTATTTACGCAGCATAAAATATCAGCATTGCAATACAAATGTGCCAAAAAATAAGATTTATATAGATTTACAACACTGAAAAAAAAAAAAAAACATTTATTTACACAATTTTGAAATTAAAGCATAATCAACACGTTTAATTGCACAAAAGTGAAAAAACCAAAACAAAATAAATGTAAAATGAAAAGTTTAAATAAGATAACATGAGTTTAAGGTCCATAAAAAAAAAGTCTAATTTAGTAATATTCATATACATGTACAGGAGCCAAGCATTTTAGGAACACTGGGGTCTTGAGTCCCCTGTTTAATTCAGTGATATCTTACTGTCCTCTGTTTTACACTTTATTTTTATTGTTAAATCAGAGCTCCTAATTGTCTTTTTAAATCTTTCTCATACAGCAGGAATAAAATACTGGTGGGAAAATACGTATGGCTCTACAGGCTTACTGGAATCAACTTACAAAATACCCGACATGTGTACATTTATAATTGTAACAGTTGAGTTTGCCTTCACACCCCCAAATTCACATGAATACGAATATGCACATGTGCTAAATACTGAGGGGCACAAGTCCCCGACGTCCCCCTGATATCTGCACCTATGCATGTGTATTTCCCCCTTTTAAAAAAAGGTGTAAAAATAATATTATAAGAAAAAAATTAAGTCATAAACTTAACAAACCCACCCTGAGAAATCACAATGATTATCACAGATTGTTTGACTCTTCATCTGCTGTCAGAGTTAATCCTCACACCAAACACTGGAACTCTCTCAGAGTGTTGACACACCAGCTGATGGACTCACTGATACACAAACACAGTTCAGATCTGCACTCCCACAAGAGAGCTGATTTCTGCTCCTATGAGCACCGCTCTTCATTACTGTGTGGTGGCCACACTTGTTTGTAGGCTGTAATTAGTGTCACAGACATTTTCATATGTCACAGAAGCACAGGTGTAAATAATAAAATCAGGTGGCTGAATTCCATTTAGCTGTGTCAGTTTAGGGTCCTGGTATTATGCATGTCGACTCACTGTCACACTGTCATGACTCACTGGGACGCTTGAACAGATCAGAGCCATCTTAGTGTTGTAACACCTGTGATTTTTCCATAATGTCGTCTCAAGACATCTGCTGTGAAAACGCTCATCCCCTTAATCCTTCATGTGCTTATTTATTTTCCTTTCATATTTCTTTCAGTTTGTTCAGCAATCTGCATTTAACCCATGTCAGTGCAGATAAAATGAGCCCAGACTTTGCATTTAAATATGTTTAAGGGATCAGTTTCAAGGACTTGTTTAGCCTAGCTTAGCACGAAGAGCAGAAGCAGGGGGAAACTGATATATAATTTACATGTGGTATCTTGTACTTAAGTTAACTTTTGATTAAACAGCTAATTACATAGATTAATCAGCAATGAAAGTAGTTATTTGAAACTGTAACCTTCATCTTAGACAGTAGTGTCTGCTTTGTAGGTTTTTAGCCATGCTATATAATGGTCCAATGTGCCCTCGTGCTTTGGTTTATGACCATATATCTGCAAAATTAATAATATTCCCATCAGCCTCAGCTGTACTTTGTGTTTAGTGCTTATTAGCAAATGCTAGCCTGCTAACAGTAGTACAGTACAGCTTTACAGAGCAGCTAACATGGCTTTAGTGTCTGGTGTTTGTGTATTTCACTTTGTGTTTCTTGAGTTTGTAAGGTTGTATAAATCACACATGCTGAATTCAGCTGTGAGCTCGGATACACAGCAAAGAACTACATTTTTACAAGATATTTAGTCTGTTAATGAGTCCTTATTTTCTTAAAATATGCCAAAAATGTACTGTGTTGAGTGAAAGTCAAGTTGTGTCAAGAAATTTTAGAGTTTCTTGATTCTGTGTCACTGATCAACTGATGTAGGCTGCTTTGAGGTGGACATCATTTTGTCAAAGTTTAAAAAGAAAATAAGGCGTTGATTGTTAAGTATGAGAGTAAATGACTTGATAAGTGTGAGAGGTATCAAAAAAAAAAAATTCTGACCAGACATCTGTCTGATTTTTCTTGAATTTTGTGACATTACAGAAGGGTTTAAATGTCTGGTTAAGTTTTGGTTTCCACTTAGAATGTGTGATGTGTGTGACAATGAGTTGAGCTGTCAGTGTGTGTGTGTGTGTGTTGGATCCTGCTGGGTGGTCGAACTCTGCAAACAAACACACGACGAGCCGACTGCCACAAAGACCGCACAGCCTCCACATTTATCCCATTTATTCCCCCTGAACACTTTATAATGGCCTGACTGCCTCTCTCTCTCTCACACACACACACATACACACACACACACACACACACACTGCTGGGAATACATGTGAGGCTGCTGGGAGTTGTCATGGTATTCAGACTGCTGCCTTCAATAGACTGTCTTCTATATTCATGACCACACACACACACGCAGACAAGTTCCCGTTTCCAGCAGTCAGCAACTACACTGAGTTGATTTGTCCTAAAATAATATAATAAAACTTACAAAAAGGACTTCAAAAAAGAATTAATGTGTAAAACACAAAATTAAATTGTTAAAAAATCAAAATGTAAGATGGTGCATCAAAATAGACAAAAGATCAAATGAAAAAGAAATCAATAAAACAAATGTGTTGTGACCTTGTGTTAACTAAGTGTAATAAATGTAAAATAAGTAAAATCTAAATAACATAAAATGAAAATAACAACAAATGGAAATAAGAAAAGAATTAAATAATTTTTTTTGAAAATGATAAATAAAATTAGTTTAAAAACACATAGAAATAAAATTCATAAAATAAAATAAAGACTTCCCTCATGTGACCCAGGCTCAGCTGTAACCTAATAAACACAATATGCTTCATATCTCAAATTAGATCTTAAATTTCAAACATAGATCACAATTGCAACTGTCAGTGTGGGAATACTTACAGCATCCAACATAAGTAACACTTGAAAAACTTGTTTTATCTTTTATAAAAGGTTATAAAAATCATCTTCCTCACCACAGTCTGCAAGAGCAGCTCCAGATTGAAAAGTGGGTGGATGCAGATGAGGAAACAGCATCTTCTGAGCATGCTCAGTAGATTTAAAGTGATGTTAAATAGTGGTTCCCAAAATTTGTCTCTCGGGACACTTTTTGAAAGGTCAAAAAAATCTGATAATGTCATCCTGAAAACTTTAAAATGAACTGAAAAAAAAAATGTAACAGGCAAAACATCTCAGAACTCTGACTGCAGCTTTAAATAGACATTATTGAGTCCAGCAGGCATCCCTGAGCTCAGACTGCCCCCTGCTGTCACACTGAGGAACTGCAGCTCAACATACAACAGACAGCACAGTTCAGAGGTGCAACATGTAGATTGATTTGATTTTTTATTTTGTGTCATGCACACTCTCATATGCCCAATGCTTATGGGTTTACAAGACACCATTACAAAGACGTTAGTCATAGTTAAGTCAATATAATTCAGTTTTATAGCGTCTTTTTTTTAAATGGAAACTTTAAGAAAAAATATACAGAGAGATCAAAAATTGACCTGAAATAATCAGATGTGTTTTGTTGGTTTGAGTTAAAGGGAAAGGACATCAATAAATAAATTAAAACTTGTATTATTCATTTACTTTAGCTTTGGTTAGTTTAAAAAAATACTGCTCCGTTTATTCCCAAGATCATATTTATCCATCATTCATTTACTGTTGGAAACCTTATTCATGTTTAATGTGAACTGCCTGTTATACTACCAAAGTAGGCTACATGGTTCTTTCCAGGAAACTCTCTTGGATATCATTTGGTATTTACAGACCTGTAAATAAACTTTTACATTATTACTGGTAAGTAAAAATATTTTCCACCACATTCAAAAGTTTGTCAAATGAAAGTCACGCTTTCACTGATCCTCTCTCCACAGAGGATAACACGGTGTAACGCGGGATGTTGTCCAAAAGGAGGCGCCATAGCATTAAAAATGGAAGTCGGTGTATTACAGTGTATGATTACTGTGTTTCATATTACACTCGCCTTCATTTAGTTAAAGCTGCTTCCTAAATTTCTACGTTTATATTCTTTCATAACAATGTAGTGATTCAGATTACTTATTGCATTAATGTTACAGAAAATAGGGCCACCTCTTCTCACTATGAACCAGAGACATGCTTCCACTCTTTCTACTTCACACAGCTGTTATTACATTTCAGTTGCGTTTACCTGCTGTTTCACTCTCAAATAATATGGTTTAGATAATCTGAATGAACTGATTGTGTGACTGCTCATGTTTCTTACCCTGGATGTCACATGTTGCCAGATCAGAACCAGAACTAGTCGTAATCCCACTTGTGTTCATTATCGTGAATGATTGATGGAAAATGTGAGTGAGTCCCAGCCAGAATAATACATTTAACCAGCGGTGTTCATTGCGTAATCATGGATTGCTCAACTGTTGATTCTTTTCTTTGAGCCATTTCAGCTTTTAATCTATAAGTTTTAGTCAGTTACGTCAACTGTTTCCAATACTTTTTGCTAAATGGTGTTCATGGATGAGCCTACTTTTAGCTTATTTCAAATGAAATATATTTCCACTGTTTATAGATTAGGCCTAGGGTACTTTAATTTCAACTCTTTACTTTTAGCTAATTACTTCAGGTTACAAATTCGTCTCCTACTTCAGATCCATGGACAGTGCCATAGATTTATCATGAGACGTGTCCTACTGTAGAGATACTCCACTTGTTTTGGGTGGGGGCCACTTTTGCAAAATGACAGGAGTGCAGGGGCCAGTCGAAGCAGCCCCGCATGGATCAGGTGTAGTGGTGTTTAGAGGACATTCAGGGTTTAGCCTGGACCTCTGTCTGGGAGACTCTCCTCTGGCACATTTTTTAATAAACAAGTCTTTATTGATGCTTTTTTTTTTTGCTCTTGGGACTTTATTTACATTAAAAGTACAAACAAATTACCACTGTTTATCAATTTACATTTATTGTGAATTAAAAATTGGTTGGGGGGCATCCAGCACCTTCTTGCGGGCCAGTGGTTTGAACTGCAAAGCTCAGTTTTCGCTGTCTACTTTTCTCTTTTTAGAACAACACCTGAAGTTAGGCTGCTTTTCTCTGATTCAGTTCTTCGACTTTTGTCTCATCTTGTCTCTCCCCTGTGTGTGTATCACACTCATTCCAATAGCAACACTCATCAGAATGTACAGATTTGCAGAGTAGCATGATGTGAAATGCTTTACAATGAATTGGTATATGAGTTTCCTCAGCCACAAGGGGGATACATGTTTGTCATTTTGCCAACAAGGGAGATGGCATCCTCCCTCAAATGGCCCAATGATTTTAGCTAACTACGTATGTTAACCAGGCTATTTTATTCTTTTACTTGGTTAATTATTTCAACTGTTCATGCATTTTTTTAGCCAACTATTTCAACTGTTTATCCTCCACTTTTGGCTGACCAATGTGATCTCATCCCTACTTGTTGTATTTTGACACATGAGCAGAAGCCCCCCAGGTGCTCCTAAAGATAGTGGTTGATTTTAGCTGTGTCAGTCAACTCACGTGACTAACGATTGACTAATTACCCACATAACAACTGAGGTGACAAAATATCTCGACACTGACTTTTAGTTTCACACAAGACACAAACGCTGGTCTCCTGGGTCAAAGTCCTATGCATGCTGGACCCACCAACCTTACCCTCCCACCTGCCCACAGCTGACTTTCTCGCTCTTTATACTATGTCTGTTGTTCTGAACGTCTACTAATGACAAAGATGGGCTTACCCTGGAGTTGGTTAAAAGCATGGTGCACTTCATACAGATGCTGAAGGGTACATTATGCATTTTTTGATGCATGTATTCATTACTTATTGCTAACTACAGCTGCTACTTTTTGCAATTTATTTCAACTGTTACTTTTACCTGTGTATCCCCCACTCCGCCCCCGCCATGTTTGCTATGTTCCACATGCTTAATTAGCTTTTTTAGTCTGTTAAAATGACAAAGAGTAAAGAAAGGAAATATTCTTACAACTATTTCCCTTACTGAACAGAAAAATGCAGCCGTACACCTTCTGAATTCAAGTTTCTCTCTCACAAATCTACCGGGCGGCTGTAGATTAGGACATAGCGAGTTCGTCTACCAGGTCTGTGGTTCAAACCCTGACTCCACAGTACATTTCAGAGTTTTCTTGGGCAAGATACGGAACCTTGTGTGTGAATAATTATCTAATGAGCAGGTGGCATCTTTCATGATCAACCAATAGTGTATGAATGTGTGAGTGAATGGGGTGAATGGTGCCTATGGTGTAAGCACTAAGAATAGCTTATGTTTTGTTAAGCATACTTTATTCAAATGCAGCAAGAACATAATAATGCTCACCAAATCCGTCTTGGTTAATCACTGTTCCAACAATCACCAACTCTCATTTGGCCTCTCCCAGTTGCCACCTTACTCAGCTCAGCTGCCTGTTCCACCAGCAGAGACTGACCTCTGGTGGCTCGTGCTGTGCACTACATCACCTCAGCATCTCTGTGTCAGTTTAAAAGAAGAAGGAGCATCTGTATTTTCGATAGTATTGAAAATTATACCATCTGGATTTCTAAATACCATGGTATACTGGAATACCATCGCCAAAGCCTACTACCCATGACTTTCAGCAAACTGTTTCGACTGTTCATCTGTTACCCGTAGCTAGGTATTTTAAGTGTTTGTCTTTTATTTTTAACTACTTTTTTATAATTAACGTTTTTAATGCTTTTTCAGCATTTGAAATACAATACATTACAAATGTACAAACAACAATCAAAACAAAAAGCAAGAAAAGTAAAAAGGGGGGAAAAGGACATATACATTCTTCTTTTTGGTAGTGTGTACATTTATGCCACATCATATTGTGCCTCATGTTCATTCAGTTAGCATAAACAATTCTATAATGCACAAAGAGTAAGGATAAGACCCAAAGATATCAATTGATATATTCATCATCTTTACTGATCATCCCCAGATGGGGACCACAAATATGTCTGAAAACCTTTACACGATTATTAACTTTGTGAATAAGCTGCTCAGAAGAATTTATCCTCACCAGCTCATCACTCCATTCCCTGAGGCTGATTTTTCTTTTGACCTCCAATGTCTCAGCACTCTCCTATTCCCTGTGATGAGGGCTAGTTTCACCCAGGAGCATACTTTTGAGGACAGGTTAGCCTCCATTGGTAAGATGCCAAGAATACATAATGCTGGACCCTCAATGAGGTCTGGTTCCAGTATATTGTTAATACATTTCAGAATAGCTGACCCAAAGTCATGCACCATTTCACATTCATAAAGCATGAGGACCAACGTGCCCCTTTCTTTGTTGCATCTCTAACAGCTATCATCCTCCCTAAGCCCCAGCCTTGACATTTTCAGTGGAGTCCAATAGTTCCTGTTTATTATTCTAAATAATCTTAATTGTGTCTGCATGTCTCGGGCTATCAGCACCATGACTGTACTGCTTTCGTCCAAGTTTCCCTGTTGATAGATGCTCCAAGATCCTTTTCCCATGCATGCTCAACATCCTCATAGTTTGGGGACTGATGTTTTCTAAGCTCGTTATAAAACCTAGATGTCCCCACTCTATGCTTCCAACTTCTATGCCACAACTCCTGAATTCAAGTAACAGGGGCAATGTTTTTCTTTCTATTTAGCTAACTGTTTCAACTGTTTTATCCATTAGTTTAAACTAACTCATCCATTACTTTCAGTAATTTATCCATGTGTAGAGAATGATGTCTGTGTTGCTTGGGTTGGTTAAGTTTAGGCAAGAGGAGTGAGACTGGTTAGACTCAGGGTAAAAATGCCAGTGTAAGCCAATTACTAACCAATTACTACGACCCTGAAACTGAGAGCTCACATGTGACCGCTTCGACTCTGCAAGGTTTCCCACCCACACAGAGTTTAAAGCCTGCAACTTCGTACCAGTCATTTAGAACTGAAGAAGCCTCTTCAAGAAACGCAAGCAAGTCCAGTTGCCTACAATATAGCCTAGCACTTATGAATACCGTGACCTGGATGATTGAGAATCTTCACTGACAAGCCAATTAAAAGCAGAGTAGGGCAGATCATGGATTCGCTATTCAGGCAAACGCAAATTGGCTTGTGGGATGGGGACACAATCTTGTAGGGTAGCCTACAAGGTCTTACCTGTGTATACACTTGGACCAAAAATGATAGTTTACGCTCAATACATTTACATGCACAGTTAAGTCGAGCTACAGTTGTAGCTCCACTAGGCCATTTAATCGGACTACTGTCCTCGTCTGAGTATACAAGCACAGGAAGGGCATTGAATTTATTGATCGAAGCATGTGCGACTTCACTATGATAGGTGGCGATATGCCCCCTTCCAACTTGTTAGTACTGGACCTTTTTCCAGTTGACCTTTTGTGTAACAGACCAAACAATTGATGAACAAGTTAGCTGCCGTTAGCTAGTGGCAAAGTGGTTCCATGATCGACAACTTTACAGCTGTGTTCATTTCGTCCTTCCAAATAAATGCATGGCTCTGGATGTAGATTTCGTCATGATCTTACTGGCTTTTTCTTCTGTTATGCATTCAATGCTATTCGACTTTCGGAGCAAAGTAGGGGTAGACACTGGAGCATGCGCAGAGCGCTTAGGCCAGTTTAGGTCCAACTGACTGTACACATGCAGGAGTAATTTGACTCCCAATTACATTATCTGGGTGCCTTAGTACGACTTTAAAAAATTCAGTTTAGTATGATATCAGTCACATTAACATGTTTACATGTATTTTAAGAGTCTGGTTTTCGCCAGACTAACACAATAAATCGATTTTCTCTAATGTCATGTAAATGTACTGGCTGGCTATGTGAGGGGAGTGCATCAGGGTCTGTAATCCAGCCTTGAGCTGTCAAACATGTGGATCTATGTTGTCTATCATGATCAGTGTGTCCAAATACCATTGTTGACCACTTTAGCAGGCACAGGTAACACAGTGTGATCCTCACAAGATGGCACCCCCATCCAAAAAGTTTAAGCCAGTATGAGGTCAACGTCACATTCTCAAAGGCCTACCTGTCTTATCTTGTCTGCTTGCTTCCTAACTAGTGGTGTTCAGTGTTACAGGGCACCCTCAAGCAACTACAGAAGCTACCCCCTGGGTACAGTACCCTGATTGGGAACCACTGATTTACATGTTTGATTGGGTTAGTTGTGTTCTTCAATTTGAGCTAAATAAAATGCATTATTACTGAATTGTATGGGACAGGGTTTCATCAGCCTGTCATGACGCGCTCAGTGTAAACATGTGGACTTCAGAGGAATCAGGGAGCAGCTTTAAACTCAGCAAAGAGCCCTTCAGGAGCCCTCGTTCTTCTGCGCGCTGACGCCAGATGATCCTCCTGCTCTGAAAACAGGAAACGATGACAAGTCTTTCACCCAGAGGAGGAGGAGGAGGAGGAGGAAGAGATGATTCAGATCACTGCAGGCTGCAGTCTGAGCATTGGATGGTGGAGCGGTGAGACGCTGTGGACGGCAGCTGATGGGTGAGACAACAAATACTTAACTTTGACTCTAGACAGCTGAAGGTGGCAGAGAGTGAATTCATATCAGGCTTAAAAGATATTTACTCTAATTTTTTTTACAAGTTGTTTTATGGAAACGTTGCTTTGTTAGTGCTTGATTGTTTAGAAAATGATGTGTTTGATTGTAAGAGTCAGCAGCAGGAAGTAAAGAATTAACAAGGAAAAGGAAGATAGCTGCCTTTTGTGCAACATTTAAACAATATCCAGGCTACAACTGCTTTAACTTTCATTTTAATTCTATCGATAACTTAATGTTTTAAAGTGCTATGAAAATATTCGCCTCGTGTAGAAAAGATTGCAGGTTGTCTTGAGTATATTTTTCTGTTACAAAGTCAGATTTTGTGAAGTGGAATTTAATGGGAAATCAAGTATAATCGTCTTAATCTGGGAAACATTATTCTCCTGGTTGATTGTGAATTTAGAATTATTCTACTTAATTTAAAAAGTTTTACAAAAAGGTCAGATTTGCTAAATTCAGAAAAAATAAGTTCATTTGGCTATGATAATGTTTGTTTTTTGATTCAGTTCAAACGGAAGTCAATTTAAAAAGGAGGAAACACTGCTTACTGCATGTCTGGAAGTTTATACAAACCATTAATACTGTAAATGTGATAATGAATGCCAGAGAAGCAGAGACGCGGAGCTCAGGATGCAGCCTGTTGTTTGTCCAGACATTTGAATTCGTTTTGGAAAAAATAGAAATAAAAAAAAAATCCGATGTGATTTATTAATGTACTCTGTGACTGTTAAAGGTCTGTTTTGATATTTGTAAACACAGCAGGAATGCTTTCAATTATAATCAGATGAGAAACACAAAAAATGCAAATTATCTTCTAAAAATCAAACCATGCAATGTGAGTAAACCTGAAATTGAAATGGCCAAAACGAGCACTTAAACATCTCTTAATGATGATTAGGTTGATACATGAACACCATAAATGTTTTAGGCTATTATATATATTTTTTTAATGAGTTCCTTCAAATTAAAACGTTATTTTTAAAATTTTGTTGTTTTAACCTCATGGTACAACCAGAAAAATGGCACAGCAAAGAGGTTAAGATTACACAAGTACTTGACCTTATCTTCCTTTATTTATTCTCGAGGTCTTTAAAAAATAAAATAAAAGGCCTGTATGTTTATACCTTATTCTTCTTAAACTGATAGAAACAATAGCTGCAGCTGGTTTCATTTCGCTGTGCAATGAAAGTAAACAAATCCTGTGCTGGCTCATCTATAGGCCTAGGCTAATAGGCCTGTCTCCTTCTATATTTGGGAATTTTCGAGTAGGTCTATTTATCAAGTAAAAACATAGAACAGAACATCAATGGAAAAATCAATAGACATGATAATAAATCTGAGCACCGTATGTCTGGGTTGCAGAGCAGAGCTACGGGGAGGTGAACCAGCTCGGCGGGATGTTCGTTAACGGCCGGCCGCTGCCCAACCCGGTGCGGCTCCGGATCGTGGAGCTGTCTCAGCTCGGCATGCGGCCCTGCGACATCAGCCGCCAGCTGCGCGTCTCCCACGGCTGCGTGTCCAAGATCCTGGCCCGCTACAACGACACCGGCTCCATCCTGCCCGGAGCCATCGGCGGCAGCAAGCCCCGGGTCACCACCCCCGCCGTGGTGAAGAGGATCCGGGACTACAAGCAAAGCGACCCGGGCATCTTCGCCTGGGAGATCCGGGACCGGCTGCTGTCTGACGGGGTGTGTGACAAGTACAACGTGCCGTCTGTGAGCTCCATCAGCCGGATACTCAGGAATAAAATCGGGACTCTTTCACAGCCGTATGAGAGCACCAAGCCGGTCCCGACTCAGCTGCAGTACGGACACGTTTACCCGTACTCCTCCTACACCGGGCCCGCAGTGACCCCCACCGGGACCAGGACCGGCAGCGGCCCCGCCGGACACGTCGGCCTGCCACGGAGCTGGCACAACATCCTGGGCATCCGAGCCTTCATGGACCCGACAGGTTGGTGCACACACTTTAAAAACACTTTTGATTTATACCTTAAAAATGCTGAAAAATAAACTTTATTTTTCTTTTTTATTAACTTTTTAAATTCAACTTGTAATTAAAATAAACTACCCTAGCTCTATTACACAGGCTGTAATATAGGCCTGTCTTCTCATTTGAGTTCATAATGATAATATTCAAACCCAAGATTAGCCTACATGGTCAATAAATACCTAAATCAAATAGAAAGTCTGGCGTTCCGTGGCTCCATCGTTTTATAGCGACACATTTCTAGTAGCCTATTTCTGTTTTTTCACAATTCAGACGCGTCTTTCAATATTTTTAGGGAATTCTGCGCATTACTATGAAACCTTTATTTAATTTTTTTTAAATTTCATTTAAAAGTTTGGTTCGTTTTATAAATATTTGTCTTAATATGATAAAGAAACAATGAAAGATGATTAAAAATTAAACTAATTATTTTTAAAAGCAAAAATATAGAATAAGTAGGCTAATAGAATTCAATCTTATTTATAAAGCCCAATATCATAAATCACAATTTGCCTCAGAGAGCTTTACACCATACCACATTCCTCTGTTCTTAGGACCCTCACAGCGGATAAGAAAAAAACTCCCCAAAAAAACTTTAACGGGGAAAAGAAGCTGAAAATACTGAAAACACAATAACAATTTTGATTGGTTTAAAACAATAAAAAAGTAATTCTGTGATGTTCAGTTTATTATATTTAAAGTTACCTGTCAAACTTCAACTTGTTGAATTAGCAAAATATCCTAGAAGAGTCCGCTTTTCTTTGTAGATGAATCCAAAGCACCATAATAAATATTATTATTTAATTTTTTTAATTAGCCTAAGTCTATGATTTGCCTCGCCGATAATCATAATATAATAATAATTTTTAGACCCATATTCTGAAGTTTTTCAGGAATGATAATGTTTGACACATAATCTGACAGTCAGCGGCTCATACTGGAGAATCCTTATCAGATCACTTCCATGCTTTCATTCTCTTTAGTTCTTTAATCGATCCAGATCTCCTTGTTACGTTACTGTACCAGCGATGACTCATTTTAACCCTGTACACCTCAGTGACTCCACAGTCCCTGGCTTCATCTTTACAAACCACTCTAAAAAAAGATTCATGGGGATAGTGGATAGTGCTTAAAATTAAGAAGTTTTTCAGCACAAAAAAAAAGAAAAAAGTTTGGTTTCATTAACGGTTCTTTTTTTATCAGTTGATAACTATTTTAAGAAGTTGGTCAAAATCAAAAACATTTATTTTACATTTTTGAGTAGGATAAATATCTTAAAATAGTTTGCCCACATCTTTTGGATAAATATTAAGTTGGTTCAACTTAATTAAGTTTTTCAAGGTCAAAGCAAATCATGTTGGTTGTACTTAACTGATTGAGTTTGAGCTGATACTTTAGAATTGAGGCTGCATTTAGTTTTATGTTCCTTTTACTATTTTCATCCAAATATTAGTTTCATTTTTCAGTTTCTAGGTCTCAAATTTTGTTACTAACTTGTATGAAGGTTCCAAATACATTTAAATTGAATAATGTGTGATATAGCATCAGCGACAAAAATTTTATTTTTAATTCTGAAGCCGCTGAAACTTTAAAGCAGTATCCGTGTTGTTGGGTTATAGAGTCAGGTCAACAGAATCCATCAATGAAAACGAAAACTACTTTATGAGCAAAATGCTTCTTTCTGGACACACAGAAAAATGTTAACTGTAATGGAGACGAGATGGGGGAATACAAAATGCTTCAAAATCATCTGTTTGTTCTTAAAATATGGTCCAAGCTGCAGAAATTGATCTTGTTTTTGCTGAGTTTTAGTTTTGTGCTCAGTACCAAAATCTGATGAGAAAGAAAATCTGTACATTTTAATCACTTTCTGTTTCTTTTAGAAGAATTTTATGAGTAAAACTATAGTAACTCGTCCCCTAAGAAAGATATTTGAAGACTGAATGGAGCTTCACATCTAATTGACTGAGTAAATGCTTAACTGGACACTAAGCAAACTGATCTTTTAAGGTGGATTTGTGATGTGATGAGTTTAATACTTCTCCCAACCAACATGAGCCAAAAATGTTCCATTATTAACTGTTACATTTGTGTTAATTCAGCATTAATGTTTTCTTTGTCAGCACTGTGTGGGTCTGATGGACATGCAGCCAAAATAGAGGAATGGACCAGTATGACCTGTAACACCAGCAGCAGGCCCTTTCCTTCTGGAGTAAATGGTGTGGAGAAAACCAACAATGAGCTGGACCTCAAATACCAACAGCAGGTAAATAAAATAAACAATAACTGTCATTCATGATTCCAGTCTGGTGTTGTTGAGACTTGTGAATGCTTTATATTATTGATGTTTAGTTTGACAATAAAACTGGTGCAGAAAAATAAATCGGACCATGAGTGAACAGGTGAAATTAAAGAAGGGTTAATAAATAAATAGCTGCAAGACTGATTACTAAGTTGGTAAATAAGTGGTAGAATTTATAATTCAGCACAATACAGTTATTGGAAATGAAAACAATGAATAAAGTCATTCACAGATACATCTTTAAAAAAGAAATCTTAAACAGGATTATTTTTCCACAATGCAGTTTGATTCAGCCGCTGGTATTTTTCCATCCCACAAAATAAAATGTAACCAGAGCTCTGATTGTCAGCAAGGCCTGAGCACGTCCTGTTTTCCAGCTGCTTTATGAGTAAACAACAACCAGACTGTGGATCAGAGTGATGCAGAGAGTCAGCTGTACTGACATATGATAATAACAAATGAAGTCCTTTTATTCTTATATCAGAACTCCTTATATTTATTAATACATATAATAAAGAAGTGTTTATAGTCAGTTTAACACTGTGGTTGCTATGGTTACCTGCATTTGAGCTCTGATTCAAAACAGTTGTCAAACTGTTGACCGATCAACTAATCAGAGCCAAATATTCTCGGTATCCCTGGTCTCATGTGTGTCCTAACTCCGTGTCTGTGCTCTTGTACATGTCTGTTTGTGAGGACCAATTTGGGTTTAGGACTTGGACAGTGATGATGATTTTTAGAAAGTGAGGACATTTCTGCAGAGTTTGGACATTTCTGGAAAATGCATTTATTTTTAAGGACAGTTTTGAAGAGTGGTGGCATTACTCAGAAAGTGAGAACATTATGAAGAGGGAATGAGGTTTTGACTTTTTGTGGATTCAAGAACATTTTTGGAAAGTGAGGATACTTTTTGAATTGTTGAATTATTTTATGGATTCAAAGATTTTTTGTTAAGTGTGGACATTTTTTAATTTTTTTTTTTTTTTTAAGACACTCGATATACGGTAGCTGCTACAGGAATTGCTGCCAAACAAAGTTTCGTTGTATCGTGTGTACAATGACAATAAAGCTTCTTCTTCTGTTTTCAGATTTGAGGACATTTTGGACATGATTGATTGATTGATTTGTTTATTTGAGTGTCATGCACTTTAAAGTGCCCAGCCCACATGGGCTTACAAGACACTACACAGTATATGTACAAACAATTCAAAGATGGCAAAAACAAGGATCTCTTCCTTGAAGAACCAACTCAACATATCAAATTCCGACATCCAAAATAAGTCGGGATTCTTCCCCTGAACTTTTTCAAACAAAGATTTCCTCAAGTCATTGTACAAAGGGCAATGAAACAAGAAATGAAATTCATCCTCAACAATATCAAGATCACACAAAACACAAATACGCTGCTCTTCAGGGATACCCTTATACCTGCCCACTTCAATCGCCAGGGGCAAGGTACCAGATCTTAATTATGCACACAAGGACCTCTGACCTCTCCCTAAATTTAAGGTTAAGTATGGTTCTGTATAGTAGTCCTATTTAATTTGAACATAGCTTCTAAGTTTGGGTTTCCTCCAAATCTCCTGCTTCCATTGTTTCTTATGGAGATTAAATAGTTTTTGTTTAACTGTATCTATCTTACATTGCAGGTTATTACTAAAAATATAATATAAATCAGAGTGAGAGAATACTGCAGAGACATCTCTTGACCAAGGGAAATTATGGGCTCGATCCCATTTAAAAATCTTTTTGGTTAGCCTTTCGTCTGGCAGCAGAAGAAGTCGGTTCCAGAGCCGAACCATTTCGCATCTTTGCTTAACAAGACAGGATTCCCAACCTGTGTCCCCATCAACAACACCCTTTGCAGTGAATTTATGAACTCCAAGATAGCACCTCAGGGCGCGACTCTGAATTGTGTTACTTTCAGGGGAATCCCTAAAGCCCCATATTCCAGCCGCATAAAATAAGACTGAGCCAACCATTGAATTGAAGAGCTTAGAAAATGTTAGAAACCCAAGACAACTGGACAACTTTTGAAAATAAGGATATTATAAAAGTGAGGACAATTTAGGCTGTGAATGAATTTGTGGATAACTGGGACATTTTTGAAAAGTGTGGAAATGTTTTAGAAAGTTTTCTGGAAAATGAGGACAACTTTGGAAAGAGTGGACAGTTTCAGATATGGTAACTTTTTGTGGATTTGAGGACATTTTTGGAGACTGAGAATGTTCTGGCAAAGGAGGATATATTTTGTAATGTGGAATATTTGGCTTTTCAAAGACATTTTTGTGAAGTCAGGACTTTTTTTTTAAGTGTTTTTAGGACAAGTCGAGGACATTTGTGAAAAGTGAGGACAATTTTGGACTGAATAAACTTGTGGAAAATTGGGACATTTATGGAAAGCGAGAAAGTTTGTGGAAAATGAGGACAATGCAAGAAATGTGGACTGTTTTGTGGATTTGAAATTTTTAGAAAGTGTGGACATTTATAAAGTTAGAAAGATTGTGGAAAGTCAGAGCATTTATGGAAGATGAAGACATCTGTATTAGCGAATGTGGTAATATGTGGATAGTATACTGGAAATGATGATAATATGGAAAAACTAAGGATGATTTTGTAGAGTGAGGAAGTTTTGGAAAGTCAGGGCATTTGGAGGTTAAGACTAGTTTTAGGGTTTATGTTAGAATAAGGTTCAAGTCAAGGTTATAATTAGGATCTGTCAGTGATGGTTTGGTTGCCGTATGAGGCTGGAGTTTAAAAATGGTGATAACAAGTCGTTGGTCAGTCTGTCAGATTTCCATAAAAGCTGCTTATATTCAAGCTCCCCAGAGGATTAACCCCCCAGTGTAAAGTTCTGTTTAGCAAATGGTTTTAAACAGATACACTCCGTCCTGTTTGTTAATGTATTTATTTTCCCTCAGTCTTCATCCAGTCTGCCTGGTTACGTCTCAGCTTGTGCGTATTCTCCACCAAACCAGTATAGCATGTACGGAGGCCCAGCAGCTAACTACATGAGCACTGGACACCACTGGGCACCCCAGTCCTCCAGTCTCCCTCCCAGTCTGACACCCAGTCTGACCCAGGGTCAGGCTCATCCCGGCCCTGCAGCACCACTGGAGGCTGCAGATTTCCACACATCTCTCAAACTTCCACAAGGAGACGGTGAGACTTATTTCAACACTTGTCACACATTTGATGTGATCCAGATGTTTTGTTTCCATAGCGATAACCTGATAGATCCTTATTATTTCAATCAAAATCAATACCATCTTTTTGACACTACACATACAGAGGTCATGGACTCTACCCCAAAATTCTCAATTGTTCTTCCAGCCCACTGTTGATACACAGTTGTATTTCAGTCTGCAGACGCTGAAGAAGAAGTTAACTTTGTGGTCGGACTGAAAATAACAAATCTAAGAAACAGTCATATAAAAAGCCACAGAGCTTCCATCCTGTGTTTGAAGCTATAAAAGCACATTTATTTTCTGCTGGATGCTGCAGTTTTCTTCTCAACAACCGCTAATGTTTGTGTTTTTAAGAAACAGGGCTGAGATTAAAATGGTCCCAAATTACACAGAGGGGAAATGGCTTTTTTGGCTTTTTTTTTTTTTAATCAAACTGTCTTTAGTTTGTACATCGCTCAAGCAGAAAATACAGATAAAATACAAATGATACAATGAACAATGCAGACTGAATTCTGGTTAATTTGGCATTATTGAGAGTATCATTAATGAGAGTAGTGGTAGTATTCACCTGCATATATACATGAAATATTTTATATTGCTTTAACTTTATTGGTTCATAGTTTTTTAACTAAAGAGTTGTGTCTTCATCACTCTGAATTAATAATATAATAATTAAAAGTCACTCTGAACAGCAGCCATAATTTGAACTGGAAAAGTTAAAAAATACTGATCAAAAATCTGATTCCAAACCAGGAGCTTTAAGCCTCTTTACAGCTGCTCATAAACAAGAGGGCAGGAAGAACCTGTTCTTCATAAAGCTCAGCAGATAATGATCACCTGAGTTCAACATTTCCACATTAATTAATTTCTTTCTTTTTAATCCCTTATATCATGTCACACAATTTATCTTGTACTTCACTGTTTAAATGGATTCACAATAGTCATAATAATAAAGAATGTTGGCAATAAATATGAATAAACAGTAATAAAGCAAATGTACAAGGATGGCAATTCTTTGGTTATGTAACATATTTACACAACCATTCAGCCCAGTTAAGACACATCCTACAAAACCTACAAGTGACATATATTTCTTAACAACTGTAGACTAAGTTTTCTAATTTTCTTCATAATTATTTTTTACTTTTTGTCTGATGTTAAAGGATAACACTGGTGATTTTCAATATTTTTTAAATTGTCAATAAATCTCATGTGCACAGAACCACCAGTGAATGTGTCTGCTAACAAATACTGTGTGTGTATCAGAGCCTGATATTTATTCTTCCTCTGTGCCTTAGAGCTCTACTGTTGTCCAATGACTATTAAAAACACATCAGTATCAAAATCACACTGTTGCACTGGGTGACATGTTCCTTTATTACCATGAACACACACACTGTAGTTTATTTTGATTAAATTCCACAAGCACCATCCTGCTGCCACAAATACTCACTGGAACACTAAACGTGGATCAATCCGTTACCGAAAATAGTCCCCAACAAATGCACTTTTTCCTCCTGTCTGTTTGATGAAAACTACAGTGACCAGCTGTTTTAGGAAATTATTGAGACTTAAGAAGAAATAAACTGTTCATGAGACATAAGAATAATGATCCTGGTAAATGATTTTATTTTTGTTCTTTTCTCTGCAGATGACAGGAAACCTCAGATTCCTCTGTACAAACATCACAGATTGTCTTCAGCCTCGTGACGACTCTGAGCAAACACAAGAGGATCTGATGTGATGCTAAAAGACCTAAAGTCATGTTTTATATCTGATGAGAGTTAAAGAGACAACATGACTTATACTGCTTCAGACTGGAGCTGAAGACCTGAAGGAAAAACTCCACTGTGGCTGTTAAAACTCCTCCATGATCACCTCCTCTCTGGACTGTATTTAGTGATTTGTTTTAATCCCCAGGATCGGCAGCATACAGACACCCAGGATTATAAATACATCATACACCATTTTTTTCATTTTAAAGAGATAGTGCACCCCAAAATCAAAAATATATATTTTTGCTCTTACCTGTAAGTACTACTTATCTATCTAGATTATTTTGGTGTGAGTTGCCAAGTGTTGGAAATATCGGCTGTAAAGATGTCTGCCTTCTCTCCAGTATAATGAAACTACCAAACTACACCTGCCAACCATATCATCAGACATGAGGATGCCTGCATCTACTGCTAGCTCACCTAGCACAACTGATTTAACTCATGTTACAACTCAGCCGAGGAGGACGCCATTAATGTTAACATCTCATGCTGTCATGAGCATGAGCCTCTGGTCCATGAGTAGATGCACGCTTCCCTCTGCACAGTAATACGGTTACAAGGTGTAGTTTGATATAAAGAAAACAGTTCCTCACAACAAGGTCTGTGGATTATTTTGAGTAACCAGGTCATGATTTCTGTAAAGACACATTGCTGTTGAGTTTTTCAAGCATAGTTTTTCAGCACTTTGAGCAACACAAGCTGAGTGCCATCTGGTTTCATTATATCGGAGAGAAGGCAAACATCTCTATGGCCGATATCTCCAACCCTTTGCAACTCACACCAAAACAAACTAGTTTGATAAATAGCACTACAGATAAGAGGATAAATATGTATTTTTGATTTTGGGATGAACTGTCCCTTTAACAACAAAACAGAGTGTGTTGTTTCCTCTTTCACTCAGAAAAACAAACACAATGTTGAAGGAATAATTCTACATATTAGAGAATAGGCTCATTCCCTTTCTTGCCAACTCTCCAACAGAAAGGGGAAAGTAGGGTATTTCTGTCTATTGCTTGAATCTCCAGCTTTTTTTCCATATTTCTTTCATAAAAGGAAAAGTTTACTGTAAATTGCTTTGGAACTGTATCATCTTGTAAAATATTTTGGTGAAGTTGTAAATATATTTTTCTATAAATGAGCTTAATAAAGACATGCAATAGAAAATGTATGTCATGGTACTGAGTTTTCCAGATGTTGGAGCAGAGCAGAGAAGAATGACAGATGGTCAAATATAGTAATAAAGATATATTTTTAACCTTGACGTCCACTGTTAACTTTCCAGAGTTGTTGTAATATGTGTCCATGACATACATAGACAGAGCAAGTCAAATATTTATATACACTGAAAGTAGTCCAGGGTTTTTGTCGAATCGTCCAGTATCAACATTGTTTCTGGCAACAGAGTTGACATATAATAAATCTATTTTGTTACTCTGCAATTAAGGGTTAAACTGATGCCAACTAATGTCCACTCTATATTTTTACTGTAAACATGTGTTTACTATTTAAACTACCTTAAACAAAGAAGGCTTAATCATATGGATGATACTGATCTTTTTATGATGATCTCATTTTTGTTATCTAAAGTCTATCAGCTGGTTGTAGTTCTACCCAACTAAAAGCCTAATGTTTTAACCTTTTTTATGCCTCCACATAGCCATGGCTGAAGGCATTATGTTTTCAGGTTGTCCATCCGTCCTATTCTTGTGACCGCAATATAGGAAGCCTTGAGGGAATATCTTCAAATTTGGCACAAACATCCACTTGGATCCAACAAGGAACTGATTAGATTTGGTGGTCAAAGGTCAAGATCACTGTCGCCTGGCATCGGTCTCATTCTCATGTACATGATATCTCAAGAACACCGAAAGGGAATTTCTTCAAATTTGGCACAAACGTCAACTTGGACTCAAGAATGAAATTATTAGAATTTGGTGGTTGAAGGTCAAAGATCACTGTGACCTCACAAGACAATTTTTGGCCATAACTCAAGAATTCATCTGCTCATGATGACAAAATTTCACACAAATGTCTAATAGGAGAAAATTATGACGTGGTCACATTTTATATCCAAAAGGTTAAAGGTCAACCTCACTGTGACATCGTAATGTTGGTCAAAAACACTTTTAAGGCCATAACATATCTCAGGAACAGAACAGGAGCCTTTTGGTGAGATACTAAATATGTGACACTAATCTTAGGTGTCCATCTTGAAACTGTGCTGATTGTACAGATCATCTGTGCTGCCAGGTTAAAGATGTGTATGAAGCATCCATGTTTTCACAGACATGGATGGAAACTGTAACTGCATCCATGCAAAAGAAAAGTATTTCCATGCTAAATATCATAATTCACATAAAGCACATATGTAGCTGTATTGTGAATTATGTTCACACCAGAAACAGTGTTTCACATGTAACATTACATGGGTATCACATGTGAAACAGGATATATATGATACAAAAACCTCACACCTTTATGTTCAACGTGTGTGAAACCCACATTTGAGATGTGTTTCACATGTGATGTATCATTTCTTTGTTTTTAATACAACAGAAATTCAATAAAAAGTAAACTAAACCTGGAAAAACAAAAAAAAAACGAATTCAGTTTTGGACTTGTGAGCTGTTGCAGGTTTCAAGAAGCTTCCTGCAGGTAAACAATAAAAGGTGTAAGATGATCCATCAGCAAACAGCTCAGAGTAAACAGAGGAAGCCCATTAATACCTGAACAATCTGAGTGGTGCTGATACACAGACTGACAGAGCAAACACCAGGGTTTTGTTTCAAACGGTCTCTTTAGGAAGCATTTGAGTCATTTAGGAAGCCAGTTAAGTCCTGATTCTCTTCTCTGTGATCTGCTTTGTGCTGCTCAGTGAGTCCTTCTGTCTACAAACGTCCACCTGGAGTCACTTCTAGGACATTAAGGGAAAGGTTTAGGGTTTCTGAGTCTTATATTTCACAGTGTCTGCCATCATTCCTATCAGTGAGAGTAATGAGAATGTACTTATCAAATTCATTACTGAGATCAGGGACCATAGTGATGTTTGTTTTTAGTGATGAAACACGATCAGACAAACCTCCAGATTAACATATTTGGAAAAGAAAAAGAATGTGAACTATAAAATTATTAACCAAACAGTTTACTGTGCAACTTCTGCTTTAACCTCAGTTTCCTGTGAAATGAGGGGTTATTACCAGCATTTCAAAGTTCATGTTTCAGCTTTTTTTGTAATATTACAATAAGGATTGTACAAAGAAATGCAGCTGAAGCCCACTCCGATATTTTCGGATATCTAAATTAAATTGAAATAGAATAAAACAATTAAAAGGCAATAAAAAAAATAACGTAAATGAAAGTGTCACTAAAGGAAGAAATGCGGTCTACATAATCTAGGTAAGTGGTTTACGTTTTCACAACCTACAAGCCCTGAGAATTAAATACCAAAAAAGAAAAAAAAGACTTACACTTCATTCTTCAATTTATGAAAAACTTTTAAACTCAAAATCAGCCTATCCCAGCTGACATTGGGCAAGAGGCAGGGTACACCCTACAGGTCGTCAGACTATCACAGGGCTGACACATAGAGACAGACAACCATTCACACTCACATTCACACCTACGGCCAATTAAGAGTCTTTGGACTGTGGGAGGAAGCTGGAGTACCCAGAGAAAACCCACGCTGACAAGGGGAGAACATGCAAACTCTGCACAGAAGGGCTCCCCCACCCCAGCTTTGAACAAGGAAAACCTCTTGCTGTGAGACGACAGTGCTAATCACTGCATGACGGTGCCACCAGCTCAGTAAAAGTACCTTGAATTTGTACTTAAATAACAGCAGTACAGTTTGTAACTACCTGTTTGATCACGTGCACCCCGGTAGCTAGAAAAAAACGTCTGCACTGAATGTTTCTACAAACCACAGAAATATTCCATTTGTGCTTTTTCTTGGCGGATGCATCGAAACTTTGTTGCTGGAAGCACCGCTATGTTCTGTGAAACCCAGGATCAGTGGCTCCAATGTTGCTGGGAAATGCTGTGATGTGTCGATGAAAAACACCCAGGATTGGTTGCTCAGATGCCACTTGAAGATGCAACAATGTTTTAGTGATAAACACCCAGGTCCCTGGCTCAAATGCTGCTGGGAGACACTGTAATGTGCCACTATATCATTGCTCAGTGCCAAAAAAACTCAGCAAAAGTTCGCCGTTGTTTGTTGGTTTCAAACGGTGGCCTTATTTCATCACTTTTGGAATGTTGATATGATACCTATGAAACGAGACATATACAATGCAAAAATATGGCAACAGGGCAGCCATCTGACAACTTCATTATAGCGATGTCACTGTGTACCCTGACCTATAATAACGTCATTAACAGCTGAGTTAGATGTGTGTTTCGTACTTGTACTGCTCCTTTAACAACACAGTACCTTTCTTGTGTTAGCTACTAAATCACATTTCGAAACACTGTGACATACATTCATCTTTCTGCTTAGCTGTTCTTCAGAATCAGTCTTCAGTGGAAGTATACGTGACGTATGTGCCACTGTATGGCATGTCGTTCATGATCACTGACATCTCTATTAATTACAGTTGAACCTTGTGATGTTAACACCTCACGCAGTTTCGTGACTGAACGCTGTGTGGTTTCATCTGAATGCTCGGCTGCAGTCTTTGTCAGTGTACCGTATCCTTACACAAAACCTGTCAATGGCTTATTACAAAAAACCAACAATGTGTTGCAACACTGTGAACATCAGAAATCAGTTATGATGGCTTAACTTGTCAGACAGAGAATCTCCTCTTGTTTTCTCCTCATGTAGACAACTTTTAGTGCGAGATGTTTTTTTTATACGTGGGTTTATTGGATTTTATAATGTGGGCTGTTTCATCTCATATATAACTCTGTCTCCAAAATGTTCTGGCGCATTACCTTTCGTCGGTATACGTACAAACACTGCATGAGAACAGCCTAGTCCAGATGATGTTCAGATGGTGGATAAATGAACACACACTTGTATCATGTGGAAATCGCAGAAAGGTGGTCGGGTTGGACGGTGGGCACACAAAGCTCATGACTTTGACTCTGTATGTGTAGTTAGGCTTAAATTGTAATTATGTGTCTGCAGGGATCCACATGAACTTAGCAAACCTAGGGAAGGGTTTTATGGGTAATTGTAGAGCTCAACAATGCATATAGCGGAACCGCATGTCAAGCAAAGTGTTTGTTTGATCCAACATCCTGT